ATTTAGACAAGATGGAGGTTTTTATTATCTCTTTTAAATTTGACTTTATACTTCAGTTGTATTTCAATAATGTTATGCAAGAAATTAGCCTCATGTCCCTCTGCCCTCTCTGAAACTTGTCTGTTACTTGCTAACAAGAATTCCAAATTACTCAAGCCAGTTTCTGAGACATGCATATAGTTAAGAGAATCCCTTTTTGTCCATCAATTATGTAAAAGCTGCTGAGGAAACCAACTCTTCTCCTCCGATATCCTTGGTGTAACTTCCAAGACTCAGTCTGAGCATTACCGTTCTGTGGCTCTGTGCCAGGGTCATGTCACACAGGAGCTGGAGAGGGGATGGCTTACTTTGGTAGATGGGTTTGGGGAGGTGTTTGAGCAATGGAGTAAAGCAAATGGGGAAAACAGCATAAGTCTACCAGATTAAATAACCACCCTCTGCTTTCCCCGCATGAAAACCTAAGCCCACATAAACAGGCTCTGACAGCCAACGCTGCGTTTTTGCTAAGCCAAAGCAAAACCCTCCTTCCCATCCTGCTTTAGGGAAGTAGGTCACAGTAAAATCTGCCTCTCCAATCTCTTGTCCATGATCACAAGGTAAGATAAATTATACCCTCACATTAACTGGGGAAACTGTGGCTTGAAAAGGCAATTCAAAGGCTCAGTGTCTCTCTGGAGAGCAGCTGACAGCACCATCCACCATCAGAAGTGCCTTGCAACCCACTGCCCCGGGCTGCTCATGCTCTGCGCTCCACTGACCGACCGAGCTCAGTGGCTGGCTCTGATGGTGGGGAAATACAGGCACCCCTGGGTGGCAGGTGGCTCTCTGCAGGCTGCTTCAGCACACCTGGAAAACAGAGAATCACAGAGGAGGAAGCAGCAAAGAATTCCCTGCTGAGGTGGAAAGGTTCCTTCCATTATCTCTAGCTTCAACTTCTTTTCTTTGCATTGCTTTTTTTTCCTTGTGGACTGTAACACTGCCATACGCAGGCTGTGCCCACCACAGTGCTGTGCTGCATAAAAGCAGGGGCAGCACATCCGGTGTCGTGAGCACGTCCTGTGAGCGCTGGAGCTGGATTTACTGCACCATTGAACCACCCAGGGGTTTGAAGGAGCATATGAGCAAGCTTTGCAGTGCCACGAGGTTAGGGTAGAGGAAGTGACTCATGACACTACTCCTCTTACTTGGGAGTCTTCTCTGGTTCAAAATAAAGGCATGAACCAAACCACAGGCCTCATTAGGCAAAAAACAATCCCTTCTGTGTACTTGAGGTGACTGCTGCAGGAAGAGGCAAAGGAGTTAAAAGAAAGCGAGTCTTGTTTAAAGGAGTGGCTAGATGGGGAAGATGATGTCTGTTTTGCCTGGACAGGCTCAGGACCTTATTCTGCTGCCTTGTCTGCAGGCAGCCTGCCCATCAAAATTATCTCCGGTGCTGAGTGCAGTGAGGACGAGCCAACAGCTTATTAAATAGGAGTCTGTGTTATTTCTGCAGAGAAAGGTGGCTTTTATTTTCCTGAAGGGTTATTAACTGAATTCTTCTCTTGTCATAACTCCGCTTGTTTTTCTCTGCATTTTCCAGACCATTCTCCTTGGTTCTTCATTGTAGGCAATGGTTTGCAGGGGTTTACTGGTAGTCTTGTTAAATTTGGGGCAGTGGGAATAAAAATAATATGAAAATCAGGTTTCTTTGTGAGACACGATCACCAGAGCATGACTTTGGGACAAACTCGGCTCTGCAGTTCAGCGACTTCCAGTTTCTGATACAGTGTTGAAATCTTTACAGCAGCTTGGGCTGCCACTTGCACAAACAGTCCTGTGACTGGAGTTGGAGCCCAGAGATATGTAACTACTGTTGCCTCATCTCAACATGGTCTGGTACCAACTGCTGGTTGGGGAGGGCAGCACAGATGGTGGTTTGCAAGAGGAGGGGCTTGCTGGGTTTTTCTGCCTTCTCACCATCACTGAAGGCACCATAGTTTTCCATGGCCTGGCCCAAGAGCAGCATGAGTGACCCGTTTGCTTTGTCATCTCAGAGCTGCCAGCATGGGTGACAAGTGACAGTGTGGAAGCCATGCGCTGATAATCATTGCAGGACTCATTGGTGCAAAGTGCCCTTTTTTAGTAGACAGTGAACAGAGAATTCTTTCTTTTTCCTTTTTCTTAATTAGAAGTTTCTCAGGAAGAGCTGACTCTCAAAGGCAGGGTAGTAATTTCTGTGTCAATTCTAAACTTGAGAAATCAAACCATATTTGGGGAAAAGAGGGAACTACTTGCAACCATTAGTTAAGATACCACAATATCTGGCTCAGCATCTTTGAATAGACATCAGTAGAATTATGAACCTAAAACATATACCATTTCATACTTATTTGTATAAGTAAACAAACAAAGCAAAAAGAAATCAACAATAAAAGCACTCAATGTGAAGGTGTGTGAGATGGAAGGAAGAAAAATTACTCTCTATCACTTTGCTTCAGTAATATCTTACATTCTCTTAGTTGCATTCCTAACAGTTTTAAGAACTGTTTGGGATCAGAGAGTGATTTGGTATCCTGGAAAGGGAAATAGTTCAGCATTGCCCTGAATGATCTCCATTTAAGCTGCCATAGGTGAGCTAGAGTGGTTTTCTTCTGGGAATACAGCCAGTGTAAATAGAGAGTTGGAATCTGCAGCAAAGGTGCTGCAGGATACTGCAAAGGAAGAAGATGTGAATAGTCTGTAAATACGTGTACCATCAGTCCCCAGCTTCAAGTGTAACACGATGCTGAGAATTATTTGGGACTAATAGTCCATAAGAAATCTTCATGTGATATTATTTTGTGAAGTCAGACAATAAATGATCCCACACTATAAAACCTCCATGACTCCTGTCACTTACTGAGCATCTTGTCAAACACTGAATGTGAGCCTGAGACCTGTGCCCACTTGGAACTGAAATGTCTTCTCCTACAAGAGTTAATCCCATGTAGCCACATTGTGCAGGATCACACAGGGCTACATTTCCCCCTAGGGTTTTTAATGATGTGCAGCACTGCCCAGTGTTCACAAATGGATTTATTTTTTTTTGACTCTGTAACAGTACAAAGTTATCTTCTAAACACAAACACAAAATCCTGTAATTAAACTTTTGTTACCCACAGCAAAGTGCTCATCATGTATACCAAGCAAACATTTTGGCAAGTTTATTGTGCTCCCTGAGACTAAGAGGGAATTAATGGCATTGCAAAATTACAGCAAGCTGCTTCTTATGCTGCTGCTGGATATTTTCACAGGCAACAAAATTCATTTTGAAAAAATGCAACAGATTTAGTAAACATTTTTACTGTCAAAGGCACCAAAGTGCAAAACACCATATCAAAGTAAAGGCCAGGGGGATATTTGGCCTTAAAAAATTATTGCATATCGCTGTCTATTAAAAATTATTTAGTATCAATTTTTCACTTAAAATTACTAAACATTAGGAGGTAGCTGGTTAGGATAATCCAACAAGTAAACTGCATAAGTCATGAAATTTAGAGGTTTTGCACTGAAAGATGGCTGATAGACAATTTCATTTGCATTGTGTGAGGCCCTTCACCCCTGGGAAGACACCTTGCTTGTTAAACAGAAAGCCAAAGATGTCTCATGCATCACTTCTGGGAGAGGAAACTTCTATTTTTCAAGTCCATTTTGTTGTTCTTTGACTGTAATTCCAGCTCTGTTAGTTTATGTGCATGAGTCATGAACAAAGGGTGAATTTTTACATTTTATTTTCATTAGATGTCATATTCCAATGGTATATATCGCAGCTGCATGAGCAAAATGGACCAGCTGAGTCAGTTATATTGCTTCGCCATTGGAAAAGTACAGTGATGTCCTCAGGAAAGCTGATCAGATCTGAAAGGCTTTTCTGGTGGTACTGAATGTGAAACAAAAATCACTGTTCATACAGAGGAGAGAACTACATTTGTGTTTCCATCTTTCCATTTTCACAAATGAACCATTTGACCAAAGAAGAATACATGGGCTCTAAAACTATTTCCTGTCTACCTGTTGACAAGACACCTAGAGCGAGTCCTACCTGCATGACCCTTTCACTTAGAAATCTGGGTACAAACCAACGCCGTGAGAAAATAAAAATTCACCTGGCCATCATATCAGAGGTTTAAGTAGGCAAGTGTCTTTGCTTGCACAAAGGCAAGGCACATTGGCAGTGCTAAGAGAACATGAAGAAGACCAGTGACATTGCCTGCCAAAGACACTCACAATATCCCAAGCCAAGGCCCCACTTTTTGTGTTGAGCAGCATTTGATGGGTTTTGTCTTCCACTTGTTTGCCTATCTGCATTCTGAAGTCAATTAAACCTATGGTGTCTACAACCTCCTGTGGCAATCTGTTCCACTGTAACTCTGCATTGTGTGAAAAGAAGCACATCATGTTACTGCTCCTCTGAAGCACATTTTGAGACACTTGAACTGGTCCGTAATTATGGCAAGATCCTGAGTTTGTTTCCGGTAGGCCTGAGCAGCTGCAGTCCGTTCCCCTGGAGGTCAGATGATGGTCATGGGCTTGTAGGAATCCACAATGCTGGCTGTCACCGTTCACAGCAGTCATTCTCACCCACTTGGCACTGAAAACATGGAAGTGAGTCGAACCACCAGAAACCCTAAGGCAGCAATACCTGGACCTCATCACAGTCAATGGCAAAATTGTCCAGCCGATGGTTCCTGCCTCAGCATGCTCCCAAATCTAGATCCCAAATGGCACAGGAGGTGTAGGGCAGGTGTGGCACAGGGCTGTGCTCCATGAAGAGCTGGTCGTCCATTCACCTCCTCTCCTTGACATGTCTGCAAGGGAGTTGGACACGAGACTTGTTCCCCTTGAGATAGTGCAGGGCTTACCACGATACCTCTGCCTTTCACCTACATTATTCCTGAGCATCTGTCTATGAAAATAGGAGATACTCCAAGAGATTTGTACTCTTCCCCATACACTGCACAGATCATGCTCCAGGAATTCAGTTGTGATTCAACACAGTTTTAATTGTTTTAAACAGGGAGGGAATTGTAAGGAGACAGACCGTACCTTTAACTACATTTCCTGGAAACAATGTGCTCTTTTCATGGGGTGACAATAACTAGAGAATACAAATTTGGTCTTTTTTAATATAGTATATTCCTTTAATACAGAAACTATTTGGGTTTTTTCAAGATTGCTACAAAAGGTAACACCATATCTTAAAATTACACTTTATGCTAATTAGTTATTTATTACAGAAAGGGTGTTTTGGAAGGACAGGGGGTTAAAGACGGTTTTTATTGTATCTGAAAAATGTGCCTTTTTCCACTGTAGGTCCTAGAGTATGATTTGAATACCACAAAAAAACCCCAAAAGTCACTTGAAATAAAGGATGCTTGCTCGTGGGGGAGCAGTGTGGAAGTTTTTGCAGAACCAAACTTCAGATAGTTGAGCCCAAGGTTGCACGTCCTGTAATTAACTTCCTATTTGTAATTAAATTACTATTTCTGGTGTGGATCTGTTTAACAGAGAGCTGTCTTGCGGCTTCTGATTTCAGTGGGTATCCCACACTGCTTTCTGTGATCTGCAGGAAGGAGAAAACCCTGGGACAGCTGGCAGAAACCTATTTGGGTGGGGACCACTGACAGCTGCTGTGATGGGCTGGAGCAGGTCTGTGCAGATGCCCCATCAGGCCTCCAGCAGCCGTGCAGGCGGATTTCGGCAGTGATGCAGGCTGACTGTCTGTGTCCAAAGGCCTTGACAAACAGAAAATTTGTTTTCCCTTCTGGTATTTTCAACGATGAACGACAACCTGACTGAAAACCTTTAGCAGTGTGTTGGATATTCACATGCTCAACTCTCTGTTTCTTTATTCATTACAAAATGTTGTTGTCATTACCGAGAGGCTTGGGTTTTCCTCCCCATCTCTGAGGAGAAGACAAGGTTTTGAAATTGCAAATCCTATATTTCCTAAAGTCTGCCCACATTTTTCCAAAAAGAACATTAATGTGACAAGAAGAACAAAATTACTGATACAAACATAAATAAAGCCAGGGAGTACAGTGCTAATACAGGAGTATTCACCCATGAAATGCTTGCCTTAGCAGTGGGGCATGACAGGGTTTGTCCTTTGCTTCTTTAACTCACAGGGAGGTCTTAAAATATGTTCAGAGTGACTTTGGTCAATCAGCAACAAATGATTTATATTGTCAATCTTGTTAAACAAGTGGAAGTGAAGAGCCTAGGAGACTTCATGAGTGGGAGTCCCAAACTGGTGGGGGAGATTCAGGTCAATGAGCATGAGAATGTTAGATAAAGGTAGTCAAGTACAGACGTTCTATCTGTATGTTACTGATTTTTATTGAGAAGAATTAAGATTATGTAGGGGATGTTATGTGAAGCTGACACTATGATGAAATTCACAGTTTTTCCAAGCATTTCAGTTTGGACTTTAGTTCAAGGATTTTCAGTTCTTAATTAAATTCATATTGTCCATTACTACTAATACCATCCTCCTAACTGATTACAAAGCTTTCACAAAAAGGAAAGCCAGTTACAACCAGATAAATTCATGTAGGAAAGCAACTGTGAATGCACTGCTGAGCTTCCAACTGCAGTTCAGTTTCCTTACTGCTCACTTGCTTGCAAACATTGTGCAACCAAGGTTGCTCAGAGAAGGAGACGAGGAATTTTTATTCGTGGTCACGCATAAATGTGGGTATTTGTGCCTCCTGAAATGTAACCCAACCCCAGAAACTGCACCATCGGCTCAGCCAGGCAAACACACCGCTCGGGCAACACGTTTTAATGGAGCACTCGCTAGCAGCTATTCGGGAATACCACCATGGGCCTAACAGCTTTGGTAGGAAGTGTCAGGCGATTCCAGTGAAACACATCCACAGAATCGGGCTGTTAGTGCACAATTTGTAAATGTAAACAGAGAAACCCATAAGAAATGGAATTTTCCCGCAACAACAGAAGTTCAGCAAAGTTTAACAAAGATCCTGTTTTGATGCAAACATAATTAAAAGCAGAAAATGCAGGAAATACGTAAGGCAAAAGTTTTATTTTCCAAAGTATAAGTACGTCCTTAGCATAACCGAAGTAATCCATTGCCATTGCAATCCTGATTGCTAAAAAGTTGAAGGTAAACTTTTTGACTGCACCTATTGCACTCTTTCTCCACAGCTGTATAATAAAATCCTTCTTCCGTATCAAGAGATTCTTCACTGTGATTAGCTGGTATGCAGAAGTTCAGTTAAGTAGTTGACTTAATTATGAAAGATGCTATTTGTTTGCATCATTCTATTTTATAATCTGCGGCATATCACTCCAAGCTTGAGATTTCTTTTTGGCCAGTTCCATCCACGATGGCTCATCTGGAGCAGCATTACTAGCTTTCTTCAAGTGGCCTATTTCCTCCTTATCCGCCAGTGCAGGTGATGGAGCTACTGTGAATAAAACACATGGGCATTTTACACTTGCTTGCTGTGCAGCTAAACACCCGAGCTCTTTTACTAAATACTTTCCATGCATTGCCCTATGGTAGAATATCTTTACATTTCACATGGAAGCTTCTTCTGCAATAAGTTATTGAGGAAATTACCATTTTGTACTCTAAGTAATACAGTGTTTTTCTTATCACTAATATCTTTTGATCCCTAAATTTACCAAAACACAACATGATGACCTGGATTCCTCGCTGGGCCCTGTGTTAACGCCCAGGCCAAAGAACAGAGAGTCTTTTCATTAGCAAAAGCATTCACTTGCAAATTCCTTCTTTACCCAGCATCCAACTCACAGGAATTTTATACCTTTCTGCCTTCTTTCAAATTTTAATTTACCAAAGAGATGTACAAAGTTATTGTGGGAGGACTAATGGTCAGACAGTTTGTTATCACATCATTTCAGCTCGCTGAGGAAGTCACATTAAAATTGAATGCTATTGAAAATATTTTTGCTTACATTTTGCAGTGGGATGGTGCCTTTGGGTCCTCATCCAGTAAAATGGCCTAGCATTCTCAATTCACCTTACTCGAGTTTTGGCTACTCCTTGTTACTCTTTTGTTTGTAATCAAACTGGTCAAAAGAATATGCCACCCAATAAAACCCCAGATGTTAGAGCTGAGAAAACTCTCTGAGTTTTCATCTGGCTGATGTGGGGCTGAGGAGGAGATTAGGATCTAGCTCCTACTCCTTTTGCAGCACACTCAAGCACACTTTTCTGACAAGGTTGTGAGATAACAGCCGACATTTTAAGCATTTTGTTTCCTACCAGGGACATAATGTGAAAGTGAATTGGTTCTCAGCAGAGGCTCCTTCACTTCAGACTTTGTGTCTTTCCTCTGCTCCTCAGAAGCGCTTTTAGCTGCCAAGTAGGATGTTTTGCTCCGTTGTTGCTTCGCTGACCCCTAGGCACAGAGAGGGATAAAATCTAAGTAATGCAGGGAGAATGAGTCCAGTTTGGAAGAACACAAGCTAATGGAGTGGATGTGGTCCCGGCCACATTTCAACACACATCGGTCCCAGTCCTCTCCCTTGGGCTGATACCTGTTCAGAACATTCCAGTGGTTTCACATTAACGTCCATGATACTCAACTTTACAAATTAAAACTATCCATCTGTATCTCTTATTCATAATGGTATCTATGAGTAAGTAATTATAGTCTTCAATGCAAAATGTATTTCAAGTCCTTTACACATCTCTGCTAGCATATATAGGATTTGGAAACACTCTCGTTCTCTCATGTTTCCCTTCCACCTCTCAGATTTTGTGGGTAAGGGCACTGTATTTTGGGACAGTTGATGGTAAATGGATTTTTCACAAAAAAGAAATCAAACACATCCGCCCATAGATTTTCTTGCCAGTATCAAAAACTATCCTGAAATGATAGTGCCTGGTGCCATGTGGGAGAAAGAGAAAGTGGGAGTAGCACAGTGGCACCAAGCCTCATATGCTGCAGTCAGGAGAATCTTGGCATGTTTCTCTGTTAGCTGCTATAGAGAAATAAAATGCACAGCATGAATTTAGAAATCATTGCCAGATAAAATCTAGAGTTTCTAGTTCTGACATAGAAACTGTATTTTGGGTTCATTTAAGCCCTTGTTATCTAAGTGCTGTGATCATGTTAGGCATTACTGCAGTTCATAAACTTGCCTAGACATCTTATTAGGTATTATTTCTTGTTAATCTAACCACTGCTATTTTTCATCATCTAGAAATCTTCTCTTATTCTGGGATATGAGACAGCTGCTTGGGTTTCTAACAGTACCATGTGAAGCAAGAAAGTAGGCCATTTGCACTGGGAATGCTATACTGGTATAGGACACACATGTTCCTGTATCAGTGCAGGGTTCTTCTTGTGCAGGGTGCAAAACAGGCAGCACTTGCATGCTGTTGCTCCGTGAGATAGTCCAGCACTAGGCAAGCCTTATTAGTGTTCTGGATTCATGCCGAGCACTTCTGCTGGCACAGCTCTGTCATCTGGGAAGATCGCTTCCTACAGGTATCACCCTCTTTTGCATGGGATCTTTGAAAAAGCAGTGTCAGCCCATATTCCATGGCACCACATGTGCTTCTGAATTATCCATATACAGGGAACCAGAATTTATATCTTGGTACTCTCTACAAATACAAAAGTTATTTTTATCCTATTTCAATTCTCAAGGCTCTAAAAATTGTTACCTAGGAGCTTCTGGGAACGAGCTCTTCATTCAGTGTTAAATCAGTCAGGAGGTATAGGAGGAGGTTCAATGAAATGCTGTGCTTAGAAGGATAGTTAAAGAGAACATATTTCCTCTGCTTTGAGAAGGATCAGAGACTACAGTTTAGCACCTCATTTGCAATATTTTAGCATCCAATACACATGTCAGATCTGGTAGGTATGCCAAGAAATTTTACACACTTCACATAGTTCCAGGATTTCCTGGAAATACACAATTACATATCTGAAAAATCAGAGAACTCTGAATCTCTAACATATTTCTGAGAGCACTGTTACTTATGGTTATACTCATTGAGTATCTGTAATCATTACGGCATGACTGCTAATATAGCAGTAGATTCAAAGAATACTATAGGAAGGTGATACAAAAGCATCACAAATTTTTACTATAAGTACCTCTGTTTGTTCCTTTTCTTTATTCTTTTTCTCTGTATCTGTCTTAATATCCGGAGCCACAAGCTTTTCTCTGTCCTTCTCCTGCTGCATGCCCCTCTGCTTTTGCCTTGCAATGGAAATCCAGGCTGGCTCTGCTGGAGTGTCAGGATCTCTTCCAGAGTCTCCAGTAGCCACAGGGGAAGGCACACTTTTCTCTGTTGACAAATTATTTATGTACATGGTTATAGGAAAAAGAGTTGTAATCAGCTTCAACTCACACTTGCTCAATACTCTGATTGGGCCAAGGACGTGAAAACAGCCTAGATAAACAGGAATTCTGTTTAGTTTGGTCTCCAGAGAGCACTTTTCCTGTGCTTGCTTGTTTAAGTTATCATTCTACTGGTGAAAAGCACTTTGCATCTTTGCTCAGCTGGAAACGCAGTGTCACTGCCCTCATGTGAGGGAGATGCTGAAACATGAATCAAACTTCACTAATCTACCCATTTCCCAAGGTCTCTCCTTCTCTTCCCTCTTCCATAACCTCTTAGAGACTAGCAGATGCTGATTCAAAGCTGGACACATGTGGACTGTGGTGTTGCAAAGGCAACTTCTTCCCCACTGCGGCTGCCCTCAGCTCCTGCTCTTCTGGAGAAGAGGAGACTGAGGGAAGACCTCATCGCAGTCTACAACTTTCTCTGAGGGGAAGAGGAAGGGGCAGGCACTGATCTCTTCTCTGTGATGACCAGTGACTGGACCCAAGGGAATGGCCTGAAATTGTGTCAGGGGAGGTTTAGATTGGATTTTAGGAAAAGGTTCTTCAGCCAGAGGGGGGTTGGGCACTGGAACAGGCTCCCCAGGGAAGTGGTCACAGCACCAAGCCTGACAGAGTTCAAGAAGTGTTTGGATGATACTCTCAGGCACATGGTGTGACTCTTGGGGATGGTCCTGTGCAGGGCTAAGGGTTGGACTTGATGATCCTTGTGGGTCCCTTACAACTCACCATATTCTGTGATTCTGATGCCTGTGCAGCAGCAGCTGATGTCTTACTCTGGTTCCTGCCTTCCTTCCACCCCTTTAAGAGCACCATGGTGTCTGCAGGTGCCGTGGGTGACTGTGCACAGCAGTCTGTGGCATCTGACCACAGAGAAATACCACTAAAACCATGATGTGATTTCCTTGTCTTTGGACGTGAGGTTTACTTTGACTTATCCCTGCTGACACTGACCTGCTTTTCACTGGTCCCAGTCACTTCCATGGTGCTCTACCAGAACTGAGACTTCAGTGAGATGAGAAAAAAAAGCACTTTCTAGAGCAGAGGTTCTAAAGTGGTACCTTGCTGTCCTCGCAACTGCCACCCAGGGATATGCAGTATCCAGGGGTATGGGGAAGTGAAATACCCTCTATTCAAATATTCTGGGAAGGGAAATCCTGTCTATTCACTGAACTGGATCAGGAGAAGAGTCTCAGTAGCTCTGTTTGCTCCATCCCCGAGGTTCTCCACTTTTTCATTGGCTCACACTGCACCCAAAATTGAATTTTCCAACTACTGTGGAGCTTCTGTATAGTTTAAAAGAGGAACAAGAACAGTACTAACAACCTTAGAGCCAGAAAGATTGATTTAACCTTTCCCAACCATTTCTGGTCACTGATGTTACCAACATGTACAAAAGGCTATTTCAGAGCAGAAGTTAAGCTTCTCATCCTCAAATCACACGTGGTCCTGCCCCTTGGAAAAGTTTATGTAGTCAGCATCCTGTTCAGGGACACAGGAAGAGGCAGACCCAGCCAGAAAGGATTACTGCCCCAGAGCCCCTTAGGGCTCAGCTTCTCTGCTGGCATAGAGCTGGGCCTCCCAGCCACAGGACCCTGTGGAACTGTCAGGCACGTTTCTGAAGGGTAATGTTCTAGTTTGGAGCAACGTGGCCCCAATCAGGAAAGCAGGCAAATGTCTCTGAAGGCACATTTGAAATGCATCATGAAGGCATGGGAGATGGAAGAGAGGAATCTTTCCCAAGAGCTGGAGTCTGCAAATTCAGGCACATAATGAAAACTCACAAACTTAGTTTGCTCAGGTATTTTCTCAAGTCATTGTTATATCTCACCAGAGACAGACCAGTTATTTGAACAAGAAAACTTTGTAAAGCATATGTCAGCTAAGGAGAGAAAAAACCCCACGTTTTGCTTTAACACCAAAGTAAGATATTTTGCCAGCTGATGCCTGCATTTCCCTTCACTTTCACCTCATGAAACCTCTGGAAGAAACAAGCCAGAAAATCCAGATGTTCAAATACAGCACAGATAAAGCAGGGCCCCTGAACATCCCTCCCTTTTGCACAGCATGTTACTCCAATTCTCTGCATCCCACCTAACTCTTTACATGACAACAGCTGCTCCTCCCATAATCTTTTTCCCATTGCCAGCTTTTTCTGCCTTTCAATGGCTCTCCTTGCTTCATTTTTGTCTCATTTTACAGGATAGTAGAGAATGAGGCTGGGAGAGATCTCAAGATGTCGTGTAGTCTATCCTTCAGCTGCAAGGCAAGATCAGCTGAAAGATCAATAACACATAAACTGTTTCCTCACAAATATTTATCTGTCTAACTCTGCAAAGACAGGACAGGTCTCAGTCTCCCTAGGCAACCTATCCTTTAGCATGGCTCTTTTTTTTTCTACTATTTTTTTTTTTGCCTATACAGTAAGTTAAATCTTCCTTGTTGCAATTTAAATCCTTAACTACTTCTCCTACACACTATGGACATGAGCAGATTACTCACAGACTCCTTGCGGCAGCCTGTTATACATTTGAAGACTAACACAATGTTTTCCCTATTTTTTTAACTATTTTGATTAAAAATATTCTCTAGATCGCTCTTGCTTTTATAGGAATTGTCCTAATTTGGTTCAAATCTTCTGCAAATACACTGCTCAAAACTGACACTTGAGATGAAATGGCGTTAGCATCAGCTGAAGTGGAAGGCCTATGCCACTTCATGGTTTCTTGAAATGGCTTCTTGTACGCATCAGTCAGTGACCCTTAACTTCCACAGTTCTCCAAGATAACCACTAGCAGCTCAAGGACTGCTAGCCCATCTTCTCTGAGTATCCTAGGACAAACTTCTTCATAAGTTCACCCACAGAGTTGAATTGATGTGATATCTGTTAATGCATCTGCCATCACATTCCCTCCTTTGCTTGCAGGCCCTGCCCTTAAACTCACCTGCACCTTTTAAGGTGGTGAGCAATTTGGGCAGGACCAGGAAAACCAGGTGCTAAGCTTCATCAGTTCCCAAAGCACTACACGGTATGCAGGTCAGTGCCACTACTGAAGGTGATGTCTAGCATTCCTCGGAGCTGAGAAGAGCTCTCTGGCTGTACACACCACCACACACAAACTATTTGACCATCTTTTCACCTTCCTTCACCATTTGTAATGTCTTGGTCCTCAAAAACTCCAACATCTTTACCCTGCAGGCCCTTTTCAATCCACTCATCAACTTTTCAATGATACTGGGAACCTGGTTTCTCCCTTGATGCTGCTAGTGATGTACAACTTAGTCATTGTTACTCCAAATCCCCCTTTGTGTTTTGTCCCATTTTCTCTGTCACACCACAGGAGCTTTCTGTAAACATCAACATTCTTCCTCCTCTGCTTCTACCACACAATCAATACTGACAAAATGACTGCTATGTCCAGGTTCTATTTACTGTTCTACATGTAATGGTCTTATTGCTACCTGTGCTTCCATTTCTCTGTCATCCTCATGAATTTAGGATTCATCTTGCTGTTATTTCAATGTGCACTGCCTGGCACAACAGGGTTCCTAGTCCTGCAGCGATATGTCTGGAGGCTGATATTACAACAATGTTTTTCATAAGGCAGATACTCTAACGAAGGCATCAAGCACCTTCAGTCTTTAGACAAATCTCTCTGATAAGACGCCAGACATCCTAGTCATGCCAATCAGAAAGCAGCCAAATTAGGGGCAAGTATCATCCCATAAGAGATGGTATCAGAATGCCCCCGTGACAAAAGGGAACAAAAGCTCTTTAACATAATCTAAAAGATTTTATATGTATCTCTATGGGCCTGACTTAGGACAGCAGAGTAGTATCACCTATAGAGGATCAAGAGCTGATCTGCTTCTGGGAAAGGCTTTCTTGTATCTTTGAGCAATTAGGTTCTGCCCTTGTTCTTGTGAGATTCTTTACTGCAGAAAGCCAGAAAGGCAGGCAAAGCAGAGGAAATGCCTTATCTTCAGCAAAAAATCATCACATGCAACCCACGCAGGATTTGCTACCTCATCTGTCAGCCAGAATTACTGTAAGTGGTAGAAGAGGCATATTCACTATTTATTATCTTTCCCATTGCCCAGAGGTGCTTTACATCCTCCCACCTCCAACTAGATAAGGTTTCTTGGCAGTATACATGCACCATTGTTCCAGCCAGAAGGATGAAAGGTGGTGAAGCAATCCAGGAGATAGCATGGCAGTTGATAGCACGAGTTGGCAGTTTAAGGTGACCTGAGACTGTCGTATGAAGCTCTTGGTACCCTAAGACACACCAAGAGACAAAAAGCTTTCTCAGGAAATGACTGTTCTCAAGAGAACTGCTGCTTGCACATCCTCCTCCATTCATAACAGCCTGATCACCTTGAACAAGCTCTTTTAGTCTTATCTCATCCAGTCATGGGATAGCCCCTGTGCTTTTATGGTTCAGCACGTGGCAAAGCACAGTGTTTAAGGAATTGTGTAGCCAGAGTGGAACCAAAAGTACTCAAAGGGACAATTTTAATTCCTGTTTCTGCTGCATGTCACATGCTCAGCAACAAGCACAGAAGCACCCAGCTGATCAATGCCACTTTTAGGGAGATAATACAGTACAAAATGCAAGCAGTGGCATCCTCTCTCGGAAGCTGTGCAAGTTCAACAGACCACAGTGTTTCACTTCTCCTCTGGCAAAGCAGGGCCGAGCCTCCTGCGTCTGCGTTACACTTGCGAGATTTTCTGAGTAAAACTACAATCTGAATCATATTCTTCAGTTTTTATTACAACATGTTACTTTAAACAATGTGCTATTCAACTTGTTACTTAATAACTTCATAAGCTAATAAAGGACATAGCTGGCAGCAATTTTTCTCTCATTCACTCACCGTTTTAACCTCATGATTGCATCTTTCCCTGGTTTCCTTGGAGCTGGCTTGGCCTCAGGCTATTTTGAAAGAGAAAAGCCCCTTCCTCCCCTTGGGTTAAGTTACCGACGGAAAGATACCAGGTCAGAACTTGTCAAGCCACTCTGTGCATAATGTCACCAAATATTAAAACCAGAAATTAGTGTATACTACTGAGGTCTTCTGCTGCCACTGGAAACCGTGCCCAGAGGCTGCTGAAGCCTTCCCTTCACATCTTTCTCACGGCCACCAAACACACATGAACAGTCACAAAACCAGCTGCTCTGTCTGCATTCTTCACCACTTCAGTTCCCTCCTGCACATCAGAATCCCCCGAGCTCCCCTCCACTGGTCTGACAGCAGCAGGGCTGGCTGCCTCAGTAGTCTCCTAAAGGGGGAAATTCCCCTGCTGCAACCCCATTTAATACAGGCATCTGTTTCCCTCAGCATCTTACTGAAACAACTTACTTTTTTTTTTCTCAGACTAAAGTTCTGGTCTTACAAAATTTCTTTTGCTTAAATATTGTGGAAATGAATGTGTGCACTTCTCATTGATAGTTGGATATTATCATGTAATATGTATCAGATTGGTTGTGTGAACAAGATGAAGATAAAACGTTAATCTTTATGTGCAAAAGGAGATCTGTGATTGACTTGTTATTGTGCATCAGTTTATACACACACACAGAGAACGTGAAAGAGAAATACATACCTATTCCTGTCTACTGACAGACAGATACTCTGTATTCAAATGTATCTGTGTGTGTGTTGCTTACATGGATAACCACAGCAAAGACATATTCAAACATTACCCTGAGATTGTCTTTTTTAGAGATGGCCTCAGATATGTATCCATTTTCTTTAAATCTAAAAGCCTCTGTACACAAAGATAATATAGCAGAGGCTCTTTATAACATTTAAATCTCATACCTGGAAAAGAACATTCTATATCTGCAAGTACTGCAAAGAGTGGTTAGTCTTGCTGTATATCTGTGCAGGGGAAAGGTCAGAGGCAGAATATTAGAGCCTTTTGAAAGTCAAACTATTAAAAGCAAGCAAAGCTAGCTTGTGATTCCCTGAGTGTTTTAAAAGCAAACATGCTCAAAACTAATCCAAACAACTTTACACAGGGAGATAACACCCTCTGTATGCAAGTATCATTGTTTTATAACACTGCTTATGCATGCATATTTAATTCCACACTGTTTTATCTTTGCTCATTTATAAAACACCAGTTATTTTAAGAAGGGCTTTACAAATGCATATAGCATGTAGTATATCCTGGCCTACATATTTCCCTTTGTTTATTAAAGCACTACATGCATTCGTTTCAGTATACAGACCTGATTCCTTAATTTCAAAGCTATTCTAAAAGATTTGGCTAAGTATTTCTGTCACTTCCTTCTTCTCTAAGCTGCTCTGTGAGGTATTTGACTTTTGATTGGATCTATACCACAGATGCCAGGAGAGTCCTTTTTACACAAGAAACTACTGTTTGCATCAAAGTGCATCTCATGGCTGGAATACAGCCATGTTGCAAAACAGCCTGACACAACTGAGAAAGCAAATTCTTTTGGAAAAAAGAAAAAAAAAGAAAGGAAAAGAAAAAGACAGCTTTGTTTTTAGCTGTAGCCAGGACAGCATTAAAGCAATGTCTTTTTGATGTAGACAGAAATATTTTTCTTGTAATTTCAGAGCCTCTATTTACCAGACAATGCCCACCAATTTCATTCACTGTTACATCCATTGTCCTTCCCTGATGTCCTTCGTCCTCCTTTTCTCTGTTTAGAGCATGTCTCCCACTACAGCTCCTCAGTGGCTGATTTTTATATATCCTAATATGCACATTCACATAGGTATTGCTTATGGTTTTGCTCTTGTAATAACCTGTTAGCATATGGTAATTGTTTCTGCCCTTTACAGGATTTATAGCAAAGTCTGTCAACTACAAACAACACAATTTAACCTTTTAAATCTTGCAAGGACTCGTGCCTTTAGCTCTAGAAACTTAAAAATTACTCCTCCTGGGGTGACTAATCACAGAATATTCACACACCCATTAAAGAGCCACCTTGCAGCCCAACAGAGGCCAAACAATCCCCAACTATTTCCTCAGAAAACTCTGTGGAGCAGGAGTGTTGCTTTCACCTGCAGTGGTAAGCCAGCATTCCATCAGCCTTCCTATTGTCTTTGGTACCAGGAATGCTGAAAAGCTAAAATTTGAACTGAATGAACCAAATTGCTCCTGCTGACCCCATCACACAGCAAACTTTTTCGAGATGAGCATACATGAGAAGGGAACTGCACCCCCTTACATCACCATTTCACAGCTTGTCTTCTTGTTCAGCACAGGGAATTCCTAACACAATGTGGAAAGAAACTCCTTGACAGCATAAAGTGTCTCCTGATGGTGACCACAGCTCTGTGAAAGGGCTGATGAACTCAAGGACTAGGAGAGGGCTGGGTGGGTAGAAGGTAGTGCTTGGTCAGATGTCTAAAGAGAAAGTTCTGCCATGGGATAGGAAGGACCTCGGGTCAGTTTGGAGCAAACTGCTTTGTATTTAGAATTAAACTCTGAGTCCTGGCATGCCCTTACATCAGAACCTATTACCAAGCAACTCAAAACTGGAGATAGGAGGAAACCTGTAGCAGCTCTGCTTCAGTTGATACAATAAGATCAGTGGGGCAGTATATAAGGAAAAAAACTAGTTACCATCACAGACCAATCTGAACCATCATGTTAAACAACCCCAGGCCATATAGATTTGGTGTAATACTCTCAGTACATGTTCAAAACAGGGCTTCTTAACCCTGTTTCAGATTCCAGGTGCATGCATCCCTATCAGGGAGTCTGGGGCATGACTCTTGCCCACAGATCCTATTTTGCAGAGGGCAGTCCTGAGCCTGGGAGCAGGAGTCTCCTTCACCCTAGGGCTGAGGAGCCACAGGAGAAGCCTGGAGGAGATATGTCTCCCCAGCTTCATTTCTTTCCCTTCTCCCTTCCCTCAGCACTAATTGTCTCCTGCCCCACTCCATCTGGAGGCACCCTGGGACTCAGCAAGAGGGAACAGATAAAGGGCTCTGTGCAGGAGCACTGGTGCTCCCACTGCTTTTCTCAATCCCCTGCCAGACCAACCTGTGCTAGGTCTCCTCCTCATTTGTTCCCAGTACGACCGTCCCCAAAATCTCAATCCATGAGAGATGTGGGCATCACTGCAAATAATCTACTAGTCAGGGCAGCAGAGAGGGGAAAATGCTTTTAAAGGGAGCAGTGAGATTATATATGTATTACACACACATATATATGTGTATCTCTTGCCTGCAGGATGTGGGGAGGCTCTGGCTAAATGGCTGTAGGGACCTCTTACAGCTGTGGATGCCAACGAATCCCCTCCTTTATGACTGCCGGGAGAGCAGGAATCTGTAAACATGGCCAGAGTCTTGCAAAAATATCTGTGATGCTGAGGCAGATGACAGCTGGAATCAGATGCCACTCAGGGCAGCAGCAGTCTCTGAGGCCAGGAAGAGACTTCTGTCACCCTATAGGACAAGTGGCCTCTTGTGCCCTGAGGTCTTCTGCTGCTTGGTGCTTCCCCACTCCAAAGCTCAGAGACTGACCCCAAACAGAGAAGAGCAACCAGAGCAGGGGAGCTCTGCAATGGCACAGAGAAACCTTGTCATTTGCTTGTCCAGCATCTTCTCCTCACATTCTTAACATCAAACCCATGACCAGACACGTCCAGGGCAGGGAATAATTTTCTCCCATATATCAGAAGACCTAAGGATTTATTTTTTCCTCTCTTGGCTGTTCTCTGAAATGAAGAGCAGAGGTCTCCTGCTAGAATTGCTTGAGTGTGCTTCACTGAACTTTTTTACTGTCATTGCAAAGACCTCAGACACTAGTGCCACTTCCAGTCTTCTGTTCCCTGCCTGCAGCCCACAGCATATCAGTCTCCAGAGGACTGATTTTTTTTAAAATGCTAACCCAATTATATAATAGAGACGACAGGGTGAAATTTAAAAATCTGCAGCAGACACAAACTTATGGTCTCTCCTGGCTTTAAACTCCAGGAAGCTGCAGGGTTGTTAATTTTTGTTTTAAACAAGCAATGACTAATGATAAAGGTGGATAAATGAATAAGCAAAGCTCGCAGGAGGCAATAAGTAAATGGTGTGTTGATCATGGAAGGCAAAGATGGGCCTCATTGCATTTCTGTCTCAATGCTATGGTGAAAAGAAGGTCTAGAGGTCTGAGTCACTCATCCCACACAGGGCACTACACGTAATATGTGCTCCTGGCTTTTGAACTGCCATGCAGCAGCTCTAAATGGGGACAGTTAGTGGTCTGGTATTTCCGTTTCCCAGTACTTGCTAATGCACTTTATTTTTTGAGTGTCACTTTGAACATCCCTTAAACAATGCCCTGAAATGCAAAAATCAGAGGCAAAACCATCTTATTCTGTCTGCTGTTTCTCGCCTGCTGTCTTTCTGATAATCTTTTCAGCAAGGGAGAATCATGGAGTAACACCACTGAAGGCAGAGCCATCAGCTGGTGCTCATTAGTGTCGTGACTGACACAACAGTGCTGCCTCTCACTCTCAGGATAAGGTCACTCTTTGCAAGTGAAGGTAATTTTAGAAAATTCTGGGAGTCTTACCAGGCACTTTACCAGAATTTGACTGTTTCTCCAAGTCTTTGTCTTCACTTCTGGATTCGGGAGAATGCAGAGGTTTGTCCTGCTTCTCCTTGTTTGCAGTAGTGTTTGGGATGGTTATGTTTTGCAATGCTGGCTTTTTAGGCAGTGGAGGTTTGCTGCTAAGTTGTTCAGAGGACTTTGCTTTGGGTTTGATCTTTTCATTTAAAGAATCACCAATATTTGTATTGGCTGGTTTTTTGATCTCTGCCTTATCACCTTTTAGAAAGGAAGTCAATCCCTCATTTTCTAAATTAAATTCTGCACTGTATCTTTTAATCTCTTTTGATTCTGGTGATGAGTTGTCTCTATATTTCAAGGACAGTGAGGTGGATCTAAGTTTCACTTGAAAAGGACTTTTATCTTTACAGCTTGGCTGATTCTGGGATACCACCGAAGAATTGCTTGGCATCAGCACTGCATCAACAGCCAGAGAAACATAACCAGCCAAAATTTCTGTAGGTTCTGTGTTCTCAGAGTCAGACTCTGCCAGCGAGGTCTGCTTTTTGTTGCTACTTTTTTCCTCGTCCAGCTCTGATCCCTTCTGGAAGTCTTCTTTCCACTTCTCATTTCTTGAGGAGACCTTTTCTTTGGACAGGGAGAATCCAGTATTTAATGGGCTTTCCAGCTCTGATCTTTCTGGGAAGTGTAGGCTTCTGGTTCTTGGTCTCTCTCGTGCAGAGGACACAGAAAACTTTCTGAAGGCATTGAGTTCACTGACTACTTTTTCAGCTTTGTTCCCCAGTAGTTCCTCTTTGTGGACCAGTGACTGACTGTTCTTACCAGAAGCAGCTGCCTCTTGTGCAGTCTTTATTTTCTCTAGAGAGCAGGAAGTAGATGATCCCATCCACACTGAGGAAGCAGGATGTGAAACATGGAACGAGTCTGTGGGTTGGGAAGAACCCACAAAAAACTCCTTGCTGGACTCTGACAATAGAGTAAACTCTTTCTTTGCCTCTTCACTACAGGACATTTCCACAGGTACCTGATCATCCTTCTGTATATTTTCGTTTGACCTTCCCAATAATACAACACTATTCTTACTAATTGGAATATTTTCTTCGGATGGTATTTTATTTACTGGAAACACAGTAGGATGCTCCTTATTTTCTTGATTTAAAATATTGATTGACATATCACTCACATCCCCAGACAAGAGAACCAGTGTTTCTGAGGAATCTTCTTGCTTTTTTACTTCTCTGTCTGGACTGGAGTAGGAAGAAGTTGCGGGCTCTTTGTCTTCTATCAGCAGTGAGGACTCAGACTCTTCACATGTTGTTTCCAGCACTCGTTGGCAGTCCTGTGGCTTATTATCCGGAAGCAGGGCTCCCTGTACAGCAGCAGGCTCAGAAGCAGGCTGAGTCATCACTGGTCTCAAAGCAGGGGGGAGGTCCTCAGGCACTCTGGGCTTTGGCCAGGAAACAGCATCCTGTGTTGCGGCTGCAGTCCATGGCAGTTCTTGATTGCTGGGTTTGAATACAGCATCATCCTCTTCTTCTTCTTCTGGGGTACAGCTCAAATCAGTCAGAGATTCAGACTGGGTCCTCTGCAAGAAAGAAATTCAGAAAGCCCCATCACCATGTACAGCTTCACTTTTTTTCTTATTCATCATTACATTTACAATCGAGATCTTAGAGAGGAAGGCAATACTTGCCTCTGACGCTGAGCTTGCAGTTTCCTTAACCTACAGACTGTATGCTTTTTTACTTAAGCACATCCTGGAATAATGCATTTAACCAATATAAAAGCAATGACTGACGCTTCCTTCTGCACAACTAGTGCTTTCATGCCTTTGTAGATGGGAAGTTCATCAAAACAATGCCCATTGGACTGTCCTTAGCAATTGATTCCCTAGAGCATACTGCCTGTGTTGTGTTGCTCTTAGGCAAAAAGTAGCACTTGAAAATCCCTTTGTATTTTGCTACTCCATACTAGCATTAAAAATAAAACAACCCATTCCTTCTAAAGCATGACTCTGAAGAGGGAAGAGCAAAAGCCTAACAAACCCATCCATGCCAGCTGAGTATCTGCCCCAAATGGCAATCTTGTGTCTAATCCCACTGCCATACGGCATTACAACCTTGCTTCCTTTGTGTAAAAGTCTGCTTTTTTTTTCAAGAGTTATACTATTTGAGAAAAGTTTATAAATTCATGTGTAGTTACCTGTGAGGTCTTGTGATTAAATTTCAGGTGAGGACTGGCTGAATATGCTGGATTATTTGAAAGCACAGTATTAAGCTGCTGAATATGCCTTTTCATATGGTGCCTGTATTAGCTCACTGGTTCACTGTAGTTTGTTGGGTAAATATATACTTTGGATGTAGGCCCTAATTCTAAGAACACAAAACCTGCACTTTGAAGATATTTTAGGGTTCTTCCAACTTCTTTTTTTGTAAATGTAATTGCAAAAAGAGTTGAAATGCCACCTGCATTCACAGTCCATATACATAGGAGCATAAAAGCAGAAGACATCAGTTAACCAGAAGCAAGGTGCACAGATAGAGTTGGGCAAGAAAATATTAAAAATTGTATTATCAAAACATGTGAACGCTCTCCATGGAAAACCAGGAGGGCTCGGTCATCTGGCAGTTTATAGGCAGTCTGGACAAAGCAATTGTATTTTAGTAACTGTTAGAATGGAAGAGGAGGTTTGACCAGTGAATTATTGCTTTACATGCTTTTCTAAATAATGGGCCTTATCATTCTGTTGCTCACAGCAATGCTTTACTGAGCTGAAAGGCCACTCACAGATTTTGGGAAATACAGAATATCAGCCAAGTCATATTTTGAGACAGAGGGAATAATATTTCTGGTAATAAGCAAGCTAAATTAATGGTTTTACTGTTTTTAAAACGTGGAAAGCCCAATGAGCAATAGAGCAAATACTGTAATAAGAGCTGCAAACTTCAGTGATAAAAGGGAAGAGCGAAAGAATAAAAACTAAGCTATGCCCTTCATAAGATATGACAAAGAATAAGATAAATGGTGTTTAAAAGCATAGTTTAAAAAACAATTTTTTTAATACTATACAGTTTTTAATGTATTTTTAATAGTATACATTTTGCTTTCCATTGTGCTTTGGTTTTTGTTTGGTTTTGTTTTGTTTGGGTTTTTTTTGTTTGGTTGGTTGGTTGCTTTGTTTTTTTTCCTGTGAAAACTTATTTTAATTCTCTATAATGCACGTAAAGGACTTACAAGTTTTGGGGTGGGGAGATGTCTGAATTTAGGACAGTCTTTATGTACAGAATTTGGTTCCAATTAATAGGTCAGACCAGCTTCTGCACCACAAATAGGATACTAAACTGTATTGCACAGTAAATTTAAGAAGAAATTGTTACACAAAGTGCTGCATCAAGAGTTAATGGGTAAACTCATAATAGTTAATCTGTTCCTAATGTCTACTCCCGATATGCAGCCTCATTAGATAACAGCTATTAAAACCCAATGAAACATCCATGCCACCATATGATTTTATCATATCAGAGTTTGAAATACAAAGTCCAGTAAGAACTTTCTGGGTTTGTGTCAAAGGTGACACTGATTATTTTCACAAGTACCTGAGAAAATCTTCTCATTTTACTGGATCTCTGATTCCGGGGTTTTATTAAAAGCTTATGTTTAGCAGCAGAATTATCCAAGACAGTGGAAAGTTCAGGTGGAGTGTCAAAATTGGCTGTAGGTGAGACGGTACTGTCAGATGTCTGCAGAGATCCACTTCCATGCCTAGTGAACAGCTGACCATCTGTAGCATGAGCTCTAAAAGGATGCAGTGTAACCTGAAAAAAAAAAATCCCCAAACAGAGAATCAAGCAAAGAAACAAAGACATGAAAATAACAATTCTACAAATACATGGCCATGTTTATTAGTATTTTAACTGTGCCTCTTTTTCTTTTTGATTCTCTTTAAAATAGTTTGCATTTCCTAATGTTGCACGTGATGTACTGTTAGCAATTCTGCATTTTTAGCTGTTTGAATACCATGATGTACTATCCAGTGGGAAGGAGCAAGTCACATTTAACTGAAAGATTTAAAGCACACAAATACATGGCCAGCATGTTTTAGAAGACAGATTTATGAAGAGTACTCTGTTACAGAACCTAAAGGGCCATTTTCCTTTCTGGGTCTGTCCTCCAGCATCTCTGTCTAGGCTCCTACCCACAGTTGTGCTGTGCTGAGCAACTTTAGCTTCCTGTATGTCATCATGTCCCTTCAAACTCTACAACACCCTCCTAAAGACAAAAGAATCGAACATTAGTGGCACTGACACTTAAGTCAGTTTGTGTTTTCACCTCATGTACCATGGCTAGGCTTCGCGAACGAAGATTTGGGAACCTCATGTATATATATCTGCAAAATAACTAGGCAGTTTATCTGAAATGTAAAATTTCATTTGTAGACTACTCTGGGGAAGGAAGTGATGGACAATTCCTACTTGAGGCAAATAACTCATCCAGAAACAGCTCCTGAGTGCTGAAAGAGGTGTAGTACTTTCATGAAGCTGGAATCCAGCTTACCTTTGAGCTCCATCAAAAACTACCCTAGTCCCAGGGATGATGCAAAAATGAGACCAGAAAATTTATGAAAAATTACTCTGAAAAGAGTTCCTCTTTTCTCTCAGATTCAGTTTTGCAAATAGGCAAAATGTTATTTCCAAATTATCTGTCACAGCATTAACATGATCTCTGACAACTGTGATAGCACTTCCTTTGTAGGCTTAAAATTCTAATTCATTTCATTCAAGGAGCTTTCCTGCTTTGTCATGCATTCTTCTTCTTTTCTTCTTACTTATTTCTCTGGAAGTGGTATTTTACTAAGGGGGCTGGATTGGAGATGGGGAGAGTAGGTTAGTGTTTGTTTTATTTCGGGAGAGAAAAAGCATCAGCGTTTCCTGCAAGTAGAATTCTGCACTATGCACTGTAGCCAAAAGACACTCTGTAGTGTAGTGAGGGCCTGCTACAGATTCCTCAATGGCCAGGGGAAAACTCCCATTGATTTTAGCAGAGGCTGGATCCACAGCTTCTGGTCATACTTTCTATTTAAGAAAAAAAAGTAGCACAGCCATTCTGAATAATGGATGCTCTCATTAATTTTCACTCTACAGTATCTGCAGTCTAGTACTCAAACATGACTAATGTACAACAAACGATACGTGGCTGCATTATACGTTAGCACCTAACAGTGAATACATTGACATTTCAGCTTCATGATAAAGATGCAGCACATGTTCTCTTTTAAGGCACGTCATTATTTGCCTGCCTTTCTTCTGGCTCCTGCTTTTCCTTGAGAACTTTGCATGTCTTCTCATTGGCAGTGCTCAGTGTTGGCCATTATGCTGGAAAATCCGAAATCTGGTTTCTTACTTAAATTAAATTGAGTGAATGCCAGCTCTGAGCCGGCTGCAGAAGTTGCTGTCCCACAAAGTCTGGCTCTGGCAAAGCCTGCTGAAGAAGGAAACAGCTGGCAGACCCCTTTCTCCAAATCTCATGTGCACATGGCTCAGTTGTCCATCTGTCAGCTGGTCGTGGTGGGTGGTACAAGGTGGGAGGCCATGAGGAAGCCCCAACCCCAAAGCCTAGACAGGACACTCACGATTCCTTTTTCCTTTCTTTGATTCAGGAAACCTTTGAAGATACAGCAAGGTGTCACTGCTGTCCAAAACCTCAGGGCTGCATTGTGCAAAATTCCTCGGCCCTGGAAACTAGTCTCCTCTGACTTTTAGAAGGAGGGCTAGTCTCTCCGAAATGCCGCTCCTGTGGTTTGGGAGGAAAGCCTTCAGATGGAGCTACATTCTGGCTGCACTCTGCAACTGGACTGGGATGAAGAGAGCTCTGAGCTAAATGATGGGGCATATGGAAAAAGCTAAGCAACTGTGTAGTCACTACCATGCCTCAGGAGTCAGCGAGTGAGTCAGAAAGTGATGTTAATGGAACAACAGGGAGACGTAAATCCTCCTTTAACAAACATGCATCTGGACTGTACAAAATTACAGTGAGCCCAAATCAGTTTTCAAGAAATACCTTCTTCATGAGTTTTGTTGATTTTCTTTGAAAAATATTAAAATTTCACTGCATATAAACAGGTTTTTTTAAACAGATTGATGTGGAATCTAAAATGTATGGCCAGAAATCTTTGCTGAGCCCTGCTGCAGCTGGCCTTGAAATGCATTTTGCATAATTACCAAGAAATGGTCAGCTCAGGACTAGCTTCTCTATTTCCTTTCTGCAATTCCCCTTCACCCCTCCTCCTGTTTCTAGAAAACGCTCTTCCCTCTACCCCCTGTGTTGTTTCCACCATGACTCCAGCTGTGGACAGCTAAAAGGGACTCTTCAGAGCTTTTCAAAACAGCCCTTTAATCAGCCAGAACAGCTGGCTGCTGATTGAAGAAAGTCATCCATTCGCCTATACTCAAGCCCTGAAAACATCACTGCAGCAAAATTCACAGCCAGAATCCTGCTGAAGGCTGAGCTTCAGACTCCTAAGCAGTAATGTCAGCCACTAACATCAGGCAAACACTTTCTGTATTAGTGCAAGGTAATTCTGTGCTTAAAGCATGGTCTGGGCAGATTTCAGATGACCAAGAGTTGGTTCACATCTCTTCAATAAGCTTTCTCCCTTACCCTATGCATGTAACTCATGCAGCCTTTACTGTAATTTCCCATCTTTAAAAAAGGGGGATACTGTTCCAGTGTCTGTGGCTCAGAGATTAAATCATATCTGTAAAGTTTGCTAAAGGATATGAGCTATTCTAGACACCCTAATTATTATCAACAGGAGATTACGTGGCATCAGAATTATGTTGATAAATGATCATAGCTTTTATCTTAGATGGACAGGCATTAAAAAAGCACAGTAAACAGACAGATATGCAATTACATACATAAGAAGTTGGTTTTTGCAGCAGACAGGCAACAAAATAATATTTATGTCTTAAATTCCTTTAAAAAACTACTGTGGGTAATTGCTTGTCCCTTAATACATTGGCAGAAGTTACCTGTTCTTCTTCTTCACTGCCTGTTCCAGCTAAACTCAAAGAGCTAAGGTGCTTGTGAGAGTCAAAGAACTGTGGGATGGAATGAGGAAGAGATTCAGTAAAAGATGACAAACAAGGTGGATATAATCACAGAAACAATCTACACAAAGTGCACAAGGGTACTGACAATGTACGTTGTTTTTCTCTAAAGTCTTAAAGATTAGCAAGGACACTGCAAACATAAAGTGTAAGACATGCAGATAAAGAATGAAATAATGTGTAACAAAACTATCATAAAAAAAAACCAGCTTCAAATTATTTTGTTTCTTTTTCCAATGACACCCTAGAAAAACATTAGAGAGCTCTCTTATCAACATACTCAAGGGGGAATACAGATCTTTCAGCCTTTTTTTTTTATGCCTGGCAGCTCTCTGTAGTCTCTATAAAAACCACAGTATTCCCATGCATACATACAAACACATCCTCTTCTTCCTAGTTCTGCATTTTCTGGTGTGATATTTATATTTTAACAGGAACAGAGATTCTAAGTAGCTGTTTTCTAAGTAAGCATTTTGAGTAAGGTATTTCTGAATTGTTCAGCGATAAAATAAGGACATATACAGCAAACAAAATAACTTATTTTGCCTTCCACACATAGGTAAAACAGGTCATTGAACACTGATTTTTGTCAACACTGGAACCACTCACTCTTGTTCTTGTGCCTGAGTTTAGGCTCTCATGGAGCAAAGACATTTCTGGAGGGCTTCTGGGTAATCCATCATCTTCAGAACTGGTCCCAGCATCCTCTGTTCGCTTTGCATGAAGTCCAAATGGAGGTGGAGGTCCCAATTTCATGGTAGGCTGGAGTTTCAGCTTCAGTGTGGCATAAAATACATTAGCATAGTATGATGGATAGTATAGATAGATATGATGGAGGTTTCCCCAGAACATCTTTTAGCTCAGGTTAATGAGTTACCATTATTTTAACTTCACAATTGAATAATCCAGAGCACAAGACATCTGATTTTAGATGTTCTCTTAGGGAGCCAAACAACCTATCCAATTTTCAGCTATCATTTAAGTAAAAGATATGATAAGGCTGTCAAATTAACAAATGTAACATTCAAGTAAACCGCAGACAGATATTACTTACTAATCAAATGCTCAGCTACAAATATTAGCCCCAAAAAATCAAGACTGTGAAGACATTCCACCTCTTCCATTTGAAAAAATGATGTTGTGTAAATTACCTGTAAAGCCCTAATCCGGTCAGAAATGTTTTCTTGAGAAAACACTCTTACTGGCCTTGCAGGCTCTTGCCCAGTCTCAAGGATGAAAATGCTATCATGTGACAAAGCTCTGCTTCCCATAATGCCTTTATGTGCCCTAGAATAATATAACAAATTAGTGAAAACATATAGACTTTTATGCCACTTCTTTTAACTCAGGTAGTCTGTTGAATGTGGAGTGGGAGACAGGTGTGCACATCACAAACAAGATTCCAGACTTCTCCATGAATACAATACAGTCATTCAGGCTAATCTAAGTAACACCTTTAAAAATCAAACAAAAATTTGCAAATGCTGTTATCTGTCACATTAACAAACTGAATCAAGGTTAAATGAGTTATATCTTATGGAAAAATCTACTGCCCCTTGGCTGGAATCCAGCAGCTGGGTGGTGTGACAGTGCTGCAGGCAAGACCACGTGCAAAACGAAGGAGTTCACATAAATGAGCCTGTACTAGAACTGGACTAACTTCTCACTAACGTCAGAACGTGTCTTGCAAATGACTGACCATTACCATAGGAAGAATAAGTATCTCTTACTACCTAAATGTGGTACAGCGTTTAATGCTTCTCTGCTGTACAAATAATTGGCAAAAATACTTCAGGCAATGTAGTTCTCACAGAGAATCATTTGCATAAATCCTTACAAGATCCTTACAAGGTGCTGCCGTGCTTTATATCAAGACCCCTGGGATTTCTCTTATGAGAGTGCAGAATACAGAACTGTCTGGGTTCATGTAACTGTCAAGTTAATTGAGCAGGTATTCTTAAAAAAAAAAAAAAAAAAAAAAAAAAAAAAAAAAAAAAAAAAACAAAAAAAAACCCCAAAAAAATCTGTGTATTTTTGGATCTTAGATACCATCATAGGGACATACAAGACAAACATAAACAAACACGGCAGAAAGTAACATTTTTCTCATAATGGCTGCTATAAATATGTTTGATAAAACAATGGCAGGAAAAAGTTCATCTGTATTCTTGCTGCAGAAGGAAGGAAAGCTTCCTACTTCTGCTTAATGCATTAGAGACATTAGAAGAACATTTTATCTAAATGAAAAGGTGATCTCTGCAATGCATCCAAGGTCAGACAGATCTATAGCAATTTGCAAAGTAGGTGCCAGTCTGGGCTGCAGTGGCTGCCCAATTCACCAACATTTTACAAGGACTGTGACAGCACCCAGATAAGCAGTGCACATTTATCCCAGCATGCTATCCTCATTTTCTCCTTCTATCAGATGCATACCTCCCAGATGCACAAAGGAGGTACCCTGGATATCTCCTCACATTATGAGTGTTCAAATTAATTTCCTTCCTTTCAAAGAATTTCCTGGTCTTTGTCTGTCTAAACAAATATTAAGAAACAATAATGTAACAACCCTTCAATTTAGGGCACAGCAACATGGCCAGAACAGCCAAAGATTGTACCCACTTAGACATGACTTCGTTAAGTCGTTCACAAGAGAAAGAAAATCTCATCATCCGTGTCTTGTTAATATGTTGTCAAACAACAACACTACAGACCACCCGGTGCTGACAGCCCAGAACTCCTGGGGCTTCAAGATGGACAAACATGACTGTTGCCAATGCCACAAAAGCAAAACAAAAATCCCCAAAGAAACCCCAAAACAAACTAAAAAAAAAAATTAATTGTTAATAATTTCTTTTGGTTGTTTGGCGCTGCCTGGTGGCCACATCGTATAATGTTTTAAATGGACAGGATGGTTTTTCTTTCCCATCCCTGAACACAGCAGCATCTCTTGCTTGAGGACCAGGAGGCTTGTTCTGCAGGGCAAAACATCCACCAATGCAAGGACATGCTTTTTAGGCAGCCAAGGGACTCTTCAGTCCCTCTCTCCATCCAGGAACACATTTGAACTTTAGACTGGGTTCCTCGGGGTTCCTCGTGATTACCTTTCATAGTGGGTAACATTTTTGGCAATGCCAGAACGAAGACATGACTTTCAGAGGCTGATAGATACACAGGTTGGGATTCATCTGGTCTAACTTTAGACATTACACCACAGGTATTTACATCAGAGCTGGTCGGCCCTGGCTCCTGTTTACATTCAGTGGGGAGATATAGGTACTTCTTAGAGCCTATTCATGCACAAGGATGATACAAGCTCTCTTAGTAATGCTGACTTCTCTCTGATAACTACAAAATGCTGGTGATTAACAGTCCCTGTCCATGGCAGAGGGGTTGAAACTAGATGATCACTAAAGTCCCTTTCAACTCAAACTAATCTATGAATCTACGGATCTATAACTCAGACACAGATATTTGTCCTTTGGTCAAATGAATCCCATGTAAACAGGGGAAATAAAGTCTTCAGAGCCTCTGGTTCCTGCTGACTTCATTTGCAGTCATCCCCTTACTCCTTCCTTGCTTTCAAAAACCTGGTATAAATGGTTAGGCAACTGAATTTCTTTAAAAATCCTTAGGAATTATATTTTAGGGGCATAAGGCAATCCTGGTAGGATATAAGTTGAGTATCTAATTAATTTTTCAAGATGGGAATGACATTCTTTTGAAATGACAACCAAAGCCTTGTTTATGATTAAAGGAAAGCTTTTTTAATTAATATTTCTTGCTGCATTCTATCCAATTACCTTCTGATTTGTCTTGCATCAGCCATTTTAATTTGTACTTTCCTAGAAAAAGGAACCGCTTGAAAATTCACCATGCTGAACAAGAGAAGGCAATTTTGGGGTGTCTTAAATCTACAAACATTGTAGCAGTTTTATATTTGTTTACCAGGGAGAGTCCAAAGACTTACTCAAGTTCATCTTCAGAGTCATAATTAATGCGCATGTCGTGAGAGGCCGCAACATCACTTGTTGACTGGCACAACTTCAGATTGCTGCTTGCAGAAGATGGTGTCTCCTTCCTTTTCTTTTTACCAAAAAACTTTTTGAAAGATTTGAACTTTGATTTTTTCTTTCCTAAGTGAAGAAACATAAATAAGAAGCAACCAGCAGCATGTGCAAATTTTGGAACAATGATAATTCCTTTATAATTTCCTGGAAAATGCAATACAGTCCACTCTTGCATTAATGTCTTTCAAGACTATACTGTTAGCATGAAATTACTATTATCTTGAAGAATAGATTGCAATGTTTATGAGACATAAAAAATAACCGATGGCGTAGAATCATTCCTAATAGAGTTTCTACTTGCTTCTTCAGGTAATTAAACTGTGAAGGAAAAATTTGGTCTTAACAACCTGGGATACAGAAAAGAAATTACAACTTCGAAGCTCACTGCCTTTGTTCAGCAAGCTAAACACTGATGATAAGGGCAGTGCTACCAAAACCAATTTAAATGTAGAAAAGGCATACATAGGTGAATGTGCACTGTCGGGAGGCAAATGCTTTTAAAGTGTTAGTTTTATAATACATCCCAGAATATTTTGAATGCTAATTACAAGACTCAGTGGATCACAACTAGAAATCAAGCAATAACCTTGAAAAGCAATTCTAGTCTGCTCAGTGAGGAAGGACCTGAATTAGGATCAGTTGCAAGCTCTGTGAAGGAAACTATTTAAAATTAAATCAGTGTTTTGCATGGGACATTCCAACAACTTGTGCTTGTCCTGTTTAAGTTGGCATGACAGCCCTGTGAGGCATCCCTGTCAGTATTTCACTTACTCGCGGATCTTGTTGGATAAAAAAGTTAGCTTCATCACAAGATGCTACAAAAATCTTATTTCAAGCCACTGAAAAGGTAAAAAAAATATAACAGCTCTTGGAAACAGGAGAAGAGAAAGGCAGAATGCATTCTCTAAACAAATAGATTCACTTCTCTGTTAGAGCTAAAGCCTTGAAGCTCAAGAAATCATAGCACTTTTCATTCACTGGGAAAGGACGCAATTCTACCTGAATTGTCCTCTCCATCTCCTTCAGCCTCTCGCATCTTAGGGTCCATTATCCTCGAGGAACTCATGCTACGATCACTAAAGGAGGTGGAAAAAAGTGTTAGTCATATCAACAAAATAACAGTACTTCACTATATATGTGTGTACATACATACAGACAAGCTACTAAAATATACAAATATAAAATAGAATGTGTAAGTTTACATATGTCTACATACATGCCTAAATATATTTGTGTATATAAATAAATATACATAAAATGTAAAAGTATCCCATGTGATACTTATTAGGCTAAGGTATAATAAATTCCACAAACTATTTCCACTTTCAGGAGACAACAGTACATGACAGTTCAGTTGACCAACTAGCCCCTCCGGTCTGAAAGCTGGTGAATTCTGGAATGCTTCTAAAAATACGCATCAGAGGAGGCGGGCTTCTTTGATTCTCCCTTTCTGAGCCCATTTAGGACCACAGATAAAATGATAATTACAGCATATGCTTAAGTGTACAAGTAACAACAGTGAAGAACCCCATGTATTCTTCCTTTATTTACAACCAATTTGAAGCATTCTACAGATTGTAGTTTTCCTTCTTTTTTAAGCAACTTGCGAAAAGGTAATGACTCTTCCAAATACTTCGTACAGACAACAGAAAAATACAAGTAAAACAAAACAATTAATTTTCTTATTTTCTTCTCTCCTCTTTGTTTTTTGGAAGTAAAATATCACTTTGCTTATCAAGGTTCCTAAATTAAAAAATATTTCCAAAATCGTACATGTCCCAAGCCTGAAGACAGTTTATCTGTAATTTAAACTGCATTTCCAGAGCAGTAGTCTGTGTTCTCTTTTCTTCATCTGAAGAGTCACAATGTCATGGTCAGGGCAGAATAATGTCATAGATGCCATTGACTGGGTAGTGAGTTAAATGCTGCAGTCACTCTTTGGGCTGTTGTGGTGACAGATGCTCATGCCGCAAGCTGGATAGGAGGGTGAATACACTGTGGTTGTTTTGATCCCCTGAAGTACCAGGAGACTTAAGTAACAAGGTTCGTAAATTCAAAGAGTTAGTGAAATGGGAATGAAACATTTATTACTCAAATCTAAAACACAACACATCACCTGAACCATCAGCAGCCACTTGAGCTGGGCCATGACAAATGCCTGCAGGGCAGCCACAGCAAAGGCACCTCTGCTGCTCAGAGGCTCCGGGGCTTCTATGACAGCTGGACCCACACCCTGGTTGTAAAACACCCCCTGCCACCATTGGGAAAACAAATCAGAATTAAACACAAACACGAACAACTTTTGGTTGGAAATGTAGGGAGAATTAGTAAGGAACTGACTCTAGTGGTGTGGCACTGGAATAGGTTGCCCAGAGAAGCTGTGGATGCCCCATCCCTGGAAGTGTTCAACACCAGGCTGGATGGGGCTTTGAGCAACCTCGTCTAGTGGAAGGTGTCCTGCCCATGGGAGGGGGGTTGGAACTAGATGATTTTTATGGTCCATTCCAACACAAACCATTCTATGATTCTAGGATACCTTTATTTTTAAAGTAAATGCCCACTGGGAGGTGAAAGATAAATACGTATTGTGGGCTGCAGCATATTCTGTTAATTATTCAACAGGGTGTCTCAGATTCATGTTGTCACATTGCAGCAGCAATGGCAGAGTGTAAATCAGTATCTTTAAAGCTTTAGCTGTCATATGCATGCCCTGTAGCATCTATAAGCTACATGCATCCAGAACTGGGATCCTACAGTCAGTCTCTATATAAATTATGGACAACATAACTCACATCCCCATCTGTGGCCCACTGGCAGAGCCCCACTGCATCCAGCTGCACTCAGGTGAGGGTGTTTGGGTTTTTTTTATCCAAATGTTCATACACCATACTTCTCTAGTGCTCAATAGCAAAGCCACTGGGGGATAAATACTCACACAATGAAAATGTTAGTTTGAAACATGCAGGCAAGTATGAACCAGTTCCCTCTGGCAAAATTCAATCAGATAGTATATTACGTTTCTGACAAACCAGAATTGTGTTGCTGTCCTATCACATCCCAAACCTTGGCAGCCAAATTTCTAGAGAATAAAACCAATTAAAAAAAAAAGTTACCTCCACCATAACGTGTGAGAAAATTTGTGTGACTGATTTGTGACATTGAGGTCACAAAGAATGTTTCCACTGGGTGCCCCAAACATTCAGGGACACTGATATGTGGCCAGGGGTGCAGCACACATCTCCCCACTTAAAAGAAACAGAAGGACACTGAACCCTGATGAGCTCTCTCCTTGCCAGCCACGTGTCTTGAAGCAAGATCCTCACCCTCCTGTCCTCATGCAGCAATTCCTCAGGTCTGCCACGTTTTTGCTGTTTTCTAACTTTTTTTTAAGAATTACTGTGTCTTCCCAAGAAACACCCAAGACTCAAGGAAGGCAGCCTGTCAACACTGTGCTTTTGAGCATGTCTCTTGCAAAGGCGCAGAGCCGGAGCGTCGGCTTGTGAGAAGTGAGGTGCTTGGCCCACGTTGTGCAATTTGGTAAACTGCTCATATAGAACTTGTTTAGCATAACTTGCTGAGCATCAGGAGCTAAATTTGCTGAAGCCTTAGGCCGCAAGCTGTGAATTTTCACCTAGACATGTTGAACTTTATCTAGTCAAGTAAAAGAAGGCCGCAGAGCCAGGTCAAGACAGAAGATACAGAAGCTACTTTCATTAACAGAAACTGCAGCTTTAGAGATAAGAAATGTCTCGCCTAGAGGCAGTGAAAGGACATAAAGCAGAACAGGAAGACCTCAGACCCTAATATTACTACTGATCTGAACTGCTGCATGAAGGGTGAGGAATTTAGACTGCAAGGGTATAATTGCCCAGGGGTTTCTTGGTTTGAGGTTCCCCCTTTGGAGGCACCCAGCTCAAGCTATAGTTGCATTAATAAAAAATTACTTTTATAGAGAAATCTACCTCTCAGCTTATCAATTCAGCAGAAACCTAGAGTAAAACCCTACTATGATGGCTGGCATGTATAGTTTTCATAAGTCTGGCAATGCAGTGGGACTCTAGGCAACAGCCATCAGATCCTCTCATCTCCAAATGTCCTGGCCCTAAGTGACTTCACCTGGGAACTTATGGGATAGGAGGCACCAACCAGTGAGTGTTAAAATTCTGCTACTAAATTCTAGGTGTTCTGGGTCCAGGTGGGTTTGAGTCCCACCTTGGAAGCATGCTAGGAGAAGTGTGGGAGGTCTTATCCTCATAAGGTGCACGAATTTTACATACAGTTATGGGGAACATACCCAGGACAGAGAAAGGGATGCCCTCAGCCAAACTACCAGAAAAATGAAAGAAAATAGATGTCACTGCAGGTCTATAAAAAAAATCAGCAATAACATTGCATAAGGAAGACTGGACAGCACTTAGAAGAGCGGGGGTATGGCCCCATTAAGGACGTTTTGAATTTAAAAAGGTGGCTATGCTACAGGAAATTTTGGAAAATGAAAAACTGCAGCAAATGGATTATTGGTATGTATGGGATAATTGGGCATATGACCACCATGAAGAAGATGGTAGAAAATGAATATGAAAGCCTTGAGGAAGAACCTTAGCTGCAGCAATTGTAATTTAACCAAGATGCCTGCAGAGCCAGTCTCAGCACCACCCTACACTTCTCCCTCTGTATTGCTTGCAGGTTCCTCACCAATTACTTCTGCTTTCCTCAATGCTTCTGCAGGGCTTTACCCTGTGGTGTCTAATGTTACCCTTAATCCTATCACAATGGAGCCAGTGGTGGTGGGGTGCATGTATTTTGTGTGAAACGTTCCTCCCACACCTCAAACGTTACATGTGTACACACCCAGCACCCCTGGAGTCCTGGGGATTTGGTTATGTGTGGAAATCACATGCCTAGGTTAAGGCTGATATGCATCATTACTTTATATTAATTGTTCTAGATATGATCCATCCCAGGCCAATGCTGGCCTGTTGCTGAGGGAGTTGTTCCATCTACATGAGCAAGATGAGACATTTGAAAAAAACATGAAGTTGACCCTACTGCCAGATGCTGGTCAGATTTCTGGCCTCAGGTTGATGCTGGTTGGGCTTGTAATAATCAGAAGTAATTGCCAAACAGTGTTTGGAGATCTGATAAATGTGATTAGAGCTTGTGAGGAGACGAGTAAATTCAACTGAATTACAGGAATGTAGACAGAGGCCAGAGGAACACTTAGCAACTACTGAGAAAGACTGTAACAGGTTTTGTTGAGGAATGACTCTCCAGAATTTTAATAATATATTATTATTTACTGTAATAAAATACAGCAGCAAGTGTATTTGTGGACCAAGCTGCCTCTGACAACTGAAACTATTTTAAGGATCACATGCCAGCGTGACAAAGAGAAAATTAGAAAGATAATATACTACCTGAGGTTCTAGACTTGTACAATACGTAACTGATTCATCACTTGCCAAGCAAGACACATGAAGATTGTTTGAAAGATACTGTTTGTCCATATACTGCTTTAGCAGGTCATCCAGGGATTTCTTTGTTCAAGGACCTTCTTGGGAGATGCCCAGCTCAGGCTGTAGCACTATTAATAAAATGTACTTTTATAGAGGAGTCTCTCAGCTTATTGGTTCAGTGGAAAACTAGTCAAAACCAGTTATGGTGGCTGGCCTGTGTAATTTCCAAAACACCAGATCCCACCAGCACTGCTAGAGTCATCCCTCAACAGCTCAGTGTCACCTGGGGCAAGATTTGTCTGCTTTGCTATGGGAGAGCTGCCAAAGAGACCCAGGCTGTGTGCAGGGAGGAAGGCTGTCCAGGTAAGATAACTCTGGAGTGAAGCAGAAAGCAACTCAGGGTGCAGGTCAGTGTCACCCAGAGTGCAGGAGGCGACATAGGGAGCAAGTACCAGTGGCCTTTGCCTCCTGCACAGGAACCTAGAGGCTGATATCCCCAGCAAGGAAATGGTTATTTTAAATTATGGTCCCAGACATTTGGGTCAGGTAAGCAATACTGGTTTTGCAGTGGTATGACTGTAAGGCTTTTATAAAAACTACCCCTCAACTAAGCATGCAAT